GAGCAGAACCCATGGGATGGAAAGGAAAAGAAGTAAAACTGTAGCATTGGGAGGAGAGGAAGGAAGCCGGTGATGCTGAGTTTTCATAAATTGGGGTGAGAAACTGATATCTCTCTCTCTCTCTCTCTCTCTCTCTCTCTCTCTCTCTCTCTCTCTCTGTGTGTGTGTGTGTGTGTGTGTGTGTGTTTTAAAAATTTCAGGTTTTTACTAACCCAGGTACACATCTACACAAATCGAGGAAGTCCCACTTGAGAACAGTACTCCCAGGTTTCTGGTCCACACAAAACATCCAAACAATGACTATTTTGATTGCAAGTCAAATAAGTATCTAAAGTTTATGTCTTTAAATAAAGTCATGAAATAAACATCAAGAAATAAGCCCACCTCAACCCCATTCAAATTCCTGAGCTCAGGGAGAGGACTCCTTAGGGATCTTTGCACTTTCCTCTTCCTTCTCAGCCCCAAAACCAGCAAAACAGGAATGAACAAGAATAACATCTTCTAATCTCCCCCAAGTCCTGAGGATTTGCATTATTTAAATATATGAGAAGCACCTATAATTGAGTAACTATTCTAGCATTTAAAGAATGCCAAACAATGAACCATTTCTTCTTCAGACCAAATCTAGCCCATTTGTTTTCGCTAGCACAATGTGTAGAATTACTCAATGTGTTACTTCCTAGAACACTATATTGTTTATACAAGGTAGGTAAGACTTCTCTAGCGATACTGTATTTATTTTTCTCACTCTAGCACTTGATGATTGCAGCTGTCATGGATTTCCCTTTTCTCTAGATTCTCAAGTATTGCAAATGTGCAGATTCAATTTTGCACCTTACGTTTGATAAAAAAGGTTATCCTTTGGGGAGAAGGGTGTAGAGAGAAGGCAGAATTTAACAGTAAAAAGCTTTAATCTCTGTCCTTGCTTGTTTGATTTACTCTGAACAATCATTTTAAAGACAGAATTCTGCAAGTTCTGTATCAGTATATTTTAACAGCTTCAGAAAGGGGATTTTCCAGAGGGTCTGGGTGGAGGAGAACAAAAGTATTTGCATGTCCTTTCCCCAGAACCTAAGTGGATTTTTCCTGAGCTGTTTTCCCTCTGAAATCTTGGTGGGAGGATCAGTCACTACAGTGCTCAGACTTTTATTGTTGGCATGACTGTTGGTATTACTGTGGAGGAAAGAAAGAATGCACAATTGTGCACTCAGTTAAGACTAAAGACTCCTTTACCCTGCAGTGTTGTGTGTGTGCATGTGGTTTTTAGTCCAACATGGAAAGCCCCACTTGACTGTAAGAAAGACAAGCCTTATTCTCCCTAACAGTTAATGCACGCGCACGCATGTGACTTCCCAATTTATGGCAAAACTGGAAGTTGAGTTTCTTCATCCCTCTACTGACTTCTTTTCTTTCTCAACTCTATTCATAGGTTTTTAGGGACAATTATCAGATAACTTGCACAAACATTACAAATCCATAGGGACTAGTGGGGGTAATAAAGGTCTTGGTCACCACAAATTCTGCCTTCTTTCTCTCTGATTCAGTTTCTTTTAGGAAGACAAAGGCAAGAACCTCACTTATCTCAGACAGAGTGGTCCAGAGGTGGTGATGGGAGCTTGCAGATTAAGCTTTTTCAGGGAGGGTCTCCAATGTCATCATTGGCATGCCTTGTCACATTCCTTTCTTATCTATTAATGGGAAGATCAAATGAAGAATACCTATAAATGCTATGATGATGAATTCAGTTCATGTTTACTAAGTGCTTAGACAAGAGCATGCACAGAGGAGACTATCTTAGGTTAGGCTCCCTAGAAGTGGCTGAGATGAGGTTCTCATGTAAGTGACTGGGAGCATGTTTCCACATGTATGAGGGGCAGAATAGGGCAAGGGAGGAGTTGGTAAAGCTATAGTTTTGGAGGAGTCTAGCTTCAGCCCACTGCCTGAGGAGCTTTGGGTATGAAAGGCACTAGAGTTTGTTACACCAAGGCAAGATGGTCTGGCTGTTATGCTGCACAGTCAGCCCCTGGGGGGAAGGTAGGTGTAAGCTCTCTGACATCTCTTGTCAATGGAGGGTTTTCTTCATTAATCTCTGGAGAAAAGTCAGCCAAGGCCACCTGTGACAGGCGCTGCAGCATCTGCTACACAAATCAATAAGGATTTGATGACAGCACCACGGAGCTCAGAACTTAGGAATCTTAAGACCTCAGTTTCCCCATCCAGGCTACCCTTCCTTCAGTCTCACAAAGCCTCCTGAGTCCTGAACTTGAGGCTGGCACCCTGGCTTCATTTGCAGACAAGCCACCAATATAATAGTCCATTTCTTTGTTTAGCGCAGACTCTATGCTGTTCTGTGCAGCATCCCAACCCCCAGCACAATGTCCATGCATGGTAGGCCCACAGCCTGCCTTTTCAGCTAGTCAAAACTGGTAGAGAAGGTTCCTCACCCCAGTGAAGGCCAGTCAGCATTGGCCTCCTTGATCTCCTGATTGGTGCAACTCCTCCCACCCCTTACACTTTATCTAGTGTTGTTTTCTTCTTGCCTTGTCTTCTGTGTATCCAGTGTGTGGAGTACCTGTTCTCTTTTTCTTTCTACCTCTTTCTGTAGAGGTTTCTTTCACTCTAGTATGCTCCAGCCCCACTCACATCAGTTTTGCGTGATAAGATTTGTATCTGGATTTGTGAGATTCTGAATGACCATGTGCCCAGAAGGGTGGAAATTCAGCTACAGAATGGCCATTTTTGGTGGTAACATGACTGCAGAGTGGGCAGAAAGGGAGGGGAAAAGAAGACAGTAGCAGCCCCATTGGTGATGAATCATACCAATCAGAAGGAAAAATGTCAGAACAGGGACGCTCAGAATTTGGGGAATTACCTGGCACATCACAAAGTACAGTTGTCTTTCAGTGTCTGATAGGGATTGATACCAGTTCTCCTCACCATACCAAAATCCTTGGATGCTCAAATCCCTTATATAAAATGGTTTAGTATTTGCCTATAATCTACACAATCCTTCCATTTACTTGAAGTCATCTCTGTTACTTGTAATACTTATTATGATGTAAATGCTATGTAAATAGTTGTTATACTGTATTGTTTAGTGAATTATCGCATGGAAAAAACCTGTACATGTTCAGTGCAGATGCAACCATCATAGGCCTAACTACATAGTACACACCAGCAACAACATGACGTCTTCTGTCCTTGGTTGATCAAACCTGGAACTCAGAACTCCTGAGTAGGAAGGGCCAACTGCATTTGCTTTTGTAAGCCTTCTCCCCTTTCCCTTGGACACCTAAAAATTGTTCATATTTCACTAAAAGGACCCAAGTGTTGGAATTTCTACCATAGAACATTTGGGTTGGAGTACATAGATACTTGGGGAGCAAGGAAGTTTCTGTGTTGTGGAGGTGGGAGGAGGGAAGAAAGACCTTCCTTAGAGACATTCCTGTATCTTCACATTCTCCTTTTTAGAAAGAACTCTTCCTTCTATAAATTAGTACTATGTTACAAAAAATAAAAAGGAAGGTAAGTAATCTTTTGAAAATCTCACCCAAGGAATACAAGCGACTGTGAGTTTTTGGGGGGAATTTTCCTAGTCTCTTTCCCTGCATATCTGAATTTGGATCACTGTTAGACTTTTTACTAGATATTTTTGTATCGATAAAGTGATTAAAAACCTCCCTAATACTTTCTTGCATTTCTTGGCATACTATCTTATGACCTGCTCTGGCTGTGGAGCACTAAGTAGTTGGGGAGTTGGGAGCAAGACACACAGCTCCAACTCTGGGCCTTCTTTTCTCCACTATGAGATGTGAGGTGAACAGAAGTTACCATCTAGGGTTCATTAGGAATTGACACAGCTTCCCCCCCAGCAGTGCTCAAACTATCAGATCCCACAAACTGGTCTTTGTCTAGACCCTGGGCAAACCCTCTGGTGTTCTTCTGGGAGGGCTGCGAACTGGCCACCTGCTCGGCTGCAAGTTTCCAGTTGTGTCCTCCCTACCTCACCCAAGAGTACCACTGCGGGTTCCTCCTCCAGCTCCCTAGTTCCTTCTGCCTCTCCTTAGCGTCTTCACCCATTTTTGCGGGACCAGCTTGGGTATTTTGGGTAACCCCTAACCCCTAAGGTGCGCATAGAGGGGAGGACCCCAGATGTCCAAGGCCTAGGAACTGGGGAAATGAGGTGCCCTGCCTTTTCTCTGGAGAACTGTTGGGGCCCTAGGAGTCAGCCACAAGCTGGCAGCGCCTGCATCCCGGGTGGAGCGTCGTGCTCCTGGCCCTCCTTTCTCTCCGCGGTGGCCCCGGGGGCGGATTGACGTGGCGGCGCCCATCCTGGCCCCGTGCGGTTTCCCAGGGCTGGAGGAGGTGGTGCAGTGGGAGCGAAGTGGGAGGAGCGCGCCAAGCAGGAGAACTAAGGCAGAGGAGGGGCAGCCGGAGGGGGTGGGGTGGGGGTGGGGCTAGTAGCTGAGAACTGAGGAGGAGTCCCTGAGGGAGACTGGAGGAGGAGCTGCGAGCGAGCCGGAGCCGCTGAGGGAGAAGGAACGTAAGGGGAAAGCTCAAGGCAGAGGCCAGAGGAGGAGCCTTCGAGAGATTGAAGGAGGGGCAGGGAGCAGGGGAGGAGCATCTGAGAAGGGGGTGGAGCCTGTGGCGCCCCGCCCCTCTGACCGGCTGCACCGAGGAACGAAGATGGCCGGACGGGCCGCAGGAGCAGAGGGGCCGCCGACAGCGGTGGCTGCAGCTCCAGCTCTGGGACTGTGACTTCGCGCGAGGCAGCGACCCGGGCAACCGGGGCGGAGCGGGCGGCGCAGGCAGCGGCGCACGAGGCTGGTTGGGCGCCGGTGCGTGGGCGCCCGGCGGAGGATGCGCCGGGTGCGGCGGGCGGCTCCCCGCGGCCGCCCCCGCGACCCGGGCGCGGGGCAGTAGTGCTGGCGGAGGAAGCGGCACGCGCGGGGCGGCCGGGCGGCGGCGGGGCCAGGGCCGTCATGCCGTGGCTAAGTGGCGGCCGGCGGCGACGGCGAGGACAGTCGCGAGAGGCCCCGCGGGAGCCGCCGGCGTCCACGCAGTCCCAGCGTGAGCCGCCGCCGTCGGCACCCCCGGCCGCAGTCCCCGCACCTACGGTGCCCGCCGCGCCGCAGCCGACGCGTGCCCGAGAGAGCGCCGAGCTGCCACTGCCCGCCGGCTGGGAGGAGGCTCGCGATTACGACGGTCGTGTCTTCTACATCGACCACAACACGCGCCAGACGTCGTGGATCGACCCTCGCGACCGGTAAGGGGGCCGCGGGACCTTAGCGTGGGGGGCCACTGGCCGGTGCTGCCGGGGGGATGCACTGGCAACATGCCTAGCTCAGTGCAGGGCCACCGAGAGCCCGCTGGCGGGAGCAAAGAGCAGGGTACCCCTGTCCTGTGGCTACAAGGCCAGCATGGGTGCTATGATCTGGGTGTCTTCACTCTCAGGGCTAATAATGGACCTGAGCCCTGCGGTCCAGCTATGATCACGGCGTTACCATCCCTTAGGCCCAGGGAGAAGACCGAATACGCCAGGAGGCCTTTGGGTTTGGGCGAAGTTTGTACGTCCCAGGTTGAGGCGAATATCCATCTCCCCAGTACCCCTATCCCAGGGCTCTGAACGAGGATGTAGGTGTCCGCTCTCAGGGCCTTGAGTCTCTGGAGCGCAGAGTCCCGGTCTCCTCCCGGCCGGCCCCGTGTCGCGGAGCGGACACTGATTCGGTTCCCTCACGTCACCCGCTGTCCGGGGCCTGGGAGTTGGGCCCCTGGAATTTCCTCTCCCGGGGCTGACGGATGGCCCTCTTTTCCTTTTTCTGTGGTAGCCTCGCCCATCCCTTTCCCGGGCCTCTTCGGCCCATCGCATGGGCTCAGGCAAAATGAGCTGTGAGCTGTCACCTTGTATCACAAACGTGCGCCCCAGCTTCGGGGTGTGGGTTCCTTGCCTGGCGGGCTCAGCCTGGTTTCCATCCAAAGCCTGATGCCAGACGGGCACTTCAGGGATTCCCAACCCTTTTGGAGTTGGGAGAAATTGTTCCCTAACTGTTGGTTTCTCTAGCGCCTTAAAAATCGAGTTAACTTCTGTTTGAAATAGCCTTGTGTACTGCAGCCCGAATGGAATATGATTAGTCCCATATGCTTTTGGAATAAGTGAAAAACATGAGTTTAAGTTTCCTTTTTGTGCAAGATATGCATAGGGCACAAAATTGTTTTATTATTCATGTAAATAAATCTGATCAAGTAAAAACAGATTCTTCTAAAAGCACTACCAGATTTTATTTAATTAATTTCATGTAATGAAGATTTTCCTTGACTTTTGTTTGATTCTAATGGTTCATCTGCTTTTGGAGAGATGTATTTTTTGTGGTTGAAACCAAGTGTTTCCACTGGTTATCTGATATCTTGTCCTCTCTAGAGCAACTTCTCTCCACCCTGGTGTGAGTGCCAAAAAGGAAATACTGCAGGCTTCCTAGTGATTTCAAGACTGAAAAGGCCCAGTGTGGTGACATTGTGCCTGCTTCCTCCCACCTACACAGGAAAGGCAGCCTGCATGGCACTGGCGTTTGAAAATAAACTTGTAAGGAGGGAAGCTGCTGACTTGTTTGAAGATTTCTCTGGGTTCAGATGGAGAACAACAAAACAAAACAAAAGGATGGAGGTTCCCCAATATTCTCTCTGAACATTGCAGACTTCTAGACTCAGAAACTTAACATAAATCCTGGCACAATTTTATGGGTTAAAAGGATGCTTGATTATTTTGAAAATCAGGTGACATCATATTATAATTTCAACCAAATGTTAGAACCACATCTGTTTGATCAAACCTTAGATGGTTCAGGAATTGGTAGAACTGCTTGGAATGTGGTGCCCTTTTGTACTTATGTCTGCTAAAAGCCCAAACAACTGGAAAATGAACCAGTTAAAAATAGTGTTTTGCTTAGAAAAGGCTAAGGCTCATTTTATGAGAGTAATATAAAACAGTTGTGGTTGTACTGGAATTGGGACTCATGATGAAAGATATAAATGTAAGAATTTTTGTTTCAGTGGTGTAACCTGTAACATAGGTATGCAGACCAGCTTGTAGGATCTTTGTTTCTATATATTTCATGCACATCTCCTATGTTCCTTTTTTCGGAAGTCTGTCTGTTACTGAATAACATTTTTTTTACCCTTTTCAGACATCACTTATTTTGTAGGTTCTTTAAAAGTCCTGTTTCTAATGCTAAGTGTTGATTGAGTGAACTAAAGTGGATATTCTACTTTTTTTTGGTAAAGTAAAAACATACGTATACTTTTATGAGACATTGTTTTTATAGTGAGTGAAAATTCAGCCGGGACAGCTTGAACTTCAGCTCCCATAATACCTTGCCCGAAATATGTATGGAATGTTCAGCAAGCCACAAACATCTCCGTAGAGTGTGCTGAAGGGTGTAATAGTCATTCTTCTTCCTCTTTCAAAACACAACGTTGTCGATTTTTATAGGTGACTGGTAATCCTTTAAAGTTGTAATTAACTTTTATTATATGGATGGGACTGTATGTCAGGATGCAATGTTTTCTCCATGTGCATCTGACAGTTAAAACCCTTTTTGTGTTGTGTTTGCTTCACATGCCTGGAAAATGGTGTTCAAGAAATGAGAACTTTTACCAGTTTCCAAATGGAAAGTTGAAAGGAGAGCGACAAATAAATAAAATGTTTCTAAAGAAAATGAAATTATGGAGAAATAAATGAATGCAGTAAGTTAGGTGAAAATTGTTGATTTTAAACATTTATTTCATATATAATTTAGTAAAACCTATAATAGCATGAAATATGCTGCTGTTAGCAAAACTAAGGGCCAAGAGATGTAAATGCAATTCCTTCTAGAGTATTATAGTAATTTCATTCAGTGTTCTGTTTAACAACATTTGATGTTGCCACCTTGGAATATTGGTGAATTATCGTAGCTCTATTTTTTAAAATTACAACAAAGAGAATGCAAGCCTAAGGAAACATATTTTCAAATGTGACTACAAGTGTATCAAAGTCTCAGTATTTTATAAACAGATTTTTTATTTTATTATTAATCCTAGGTTTAAATTTATTATTTTATAGACCAATATTATGAATATAATTTTTATAGTGAGTTTACTGCGAATTGTCTCCAAAATTTTTGTTACAAAGTTAATTCACTATTTCTATGGCTGGCATTTTCTTTGCATAAGTCTTAGGTGGTTTACATTAGTGACACATATATATTTGGCATATGTTAACTCAGTACAATGATCACCTTATTAAAAGGTATTTACCATCTGGCAGAAAATATAGGAAGAAAAGTTTTGTACCTTTGTAAAAATTCAGTCCCTTTAATAGTTGTGTGTATATATATGCTTCCTGCAGGTTTCTTTTGATATTATTCTGTAGAAGGACCTGAGTTGTTGAGACTGCATGTTTTGCTTCCTGTAGCTCAGCTGGAGTTGTACACTCCTGGAAATGCCAGCTCTGGGCATCTTAAGAATGGAAGGAGAAGTCACATTTGAGATCAAAGCAGAGTGTAAATAATTAAGATGTGGTGGAAGACCAAGATTATATCATGGCATGAGCTTTTTTTGGGGAACCATTTGTTCATTGCACAGGATTTGGCCTGTATCTCATGGAAGCATTTTGTGATATATTAAAAGTCCTCTGAGCTGGCTTTTGCTTTAAAAAAAAAACAGGAAAAAGAACACAAAATTTATTATATGCCTAAGGTACGAGAGTATTCATCTTCAGTCTTTTGTTCTAAGGAGAAAAACAGTACAAGGCTCCAGAATTCGCCAGGCTGGAGCCCCATATAACAGAGACAGATAACATTGTTAGTTCTTGAAATCTTTATTTAGAATTAATTAATAGGAACTTGTCTATATTTACCCCTATAGAGTCTATTTCTGGATTCTACATATTGTCCAGGTTGAGCTTTCTAATAAACAACTAATAATTTCTCCTTTTTTCATCATAGTGTTTGCTTGAGTGAATGTCTGGCTTTTAAGGCCAGCAGGGATCAACCCTGGAAGAATCTTCTCTTTCTTCCATTTAGATTGTCAACCACCACTTTTTGGTCTAGTATCATCTCCCCCCCCCCACCCACCACCAAGACAAGTAACTGGAAAAGTCATTAATTTCTAAATATAACCCCCGGATGTTTGAAAATCTCTTAGTTTCCTTCTCTTTGCTTTGATTCTGATTTGGGAAATTAAAATGTTGTCTTATCACTTTTTATGGTAGGTTCTACTTCAGGAGCCCATGTGTCAAGTGACATGTTCAAGGTCACCTGGTAAGTCTGAGGTGGCCTTTTAGACTTTTAGCCCAGGTTCTTTTGATAGTGTTGGCTGCCTTTCCAATAAAGTTAATAAAATTAATCTGACGGAATAAAAGTAAAATTAAATTCTACTGAGCTCAGTTACCCCATTTAAATTTAATAAAGTGAATGAATATTTATGGAGAGTCTTAACTTCCTTTGTTCTGGGATGTTGTGGAGATGAAGTTGGTTGGTAGATAGACATAAAAATGAAGAGACTAATGATCACAGGGCATCCCAAGATTAATTAAATTCCTCACTTGGTAATCTCTTCCCAGAAAAGGAGGGAGAGCTCACTTGAGCTTGGGTGGCATTTATTCCTGTCCATTGGTCTCCTGGGGTGAGGGCTTCTTGTCCCTTTATAGTGCCAGGCAAGATAAGGGGAAAATAAGAAAAATTGCTGGAGTTGAGGCAGTGCTGGGTGTGTTCAGAATAATTGAGTTGATTCCCTGAATTTTCATGTGAAAACTGACCAAGTTTTCATGTGAGGGACAGAAGACTCTAGCCAGACCATGCATAGTTTAGACTCCCACAGCTTTGGGGCCGGAAAAGCTAGGAACATTTTGTTCAAGCTCTTCTTTTTGCACTTCAGAGCATAGCCAAGTGTTGTGTTCCGATTGAAGTTAGAAGGGCAAGGGTTTGAGCTGGGGGTCTTCTGATCCCCATCCAGTGCTCCTTCTATTATACTACCCAACTACCCAATCCCCACCCATTTTCAAGCATACTACCTCTGATCATTTGCTTGTTCATTCATTCAATAATGGTTTGTTGCATAGCCTCTTGGTCTTGGGCCTTCTTCCAGGGCTGGGACTTTAGTAGTGAGTGGTCCCCACCCATGGATTTTTCTCTGCTGGGATCCCTTGGCTCTGTGCATCTTATTTATTTATTTGTTTATCTATTGTGTTTCTGGGGATTGAACCCAGGGCTGTGTGCCTGCTAGAAAAGT